TTAGGTTGGATGTGAGGAAGAATTTTTTCCCTGAAAGGGTTGTCAGGCACCGGCTCAGGCTGCCCAGGGAAGTGGTGGAGTCCCCTTCCCTGGAGGAGTTTAGAAGACGTGCAGACGTGATGCTCAGGGACATGGTGTGGGGGTGGACTCGGCGGTGTTTGGGGCACGGTTGGACTCAATGACCTTACGGGTCTTTTCCAACCTCAGTGATTCTAGGATCTTCTGTTTTTTTCCTCTTGCCTATCCACACCTCTCCCTATGTCTGTTATGCTCATTTCTGCCTTGGCTGGCATTAGGATTGGACACTATAGGGAAGGGATTGCACGACCTCCAAGTTGTACTTGTAAAACACCTGACAAAATGGAAATGTAAGTTTTACTCAGGACTCCCTCCGTGTTCATAACTGAGCTGAGGCTGATAGGAAAATAGAAGGACTGATGTACCCTAATAGTGATCCTGCCACCTACCTGCATAATAAGTAAAAGTTCTCTTGTTTCTGTCAAAAACAAACCATCGTTTTTTCCACGTTTTAATTTTTCCTCCCATTTTAATCAGAAAGCCTCGGCAGGTCTTCTCCGTGAGGGAGACATGGTAACAGGTCTCTATGTTGTGACCAGCTGTCTCGATGTGACTTCGTAGGTCAAAGTCTTCCTTTCGAATGGGCAAATAGCGAGTCAAGGGACGGGCCTAGAGTAAAGAGCAGAAAAAAATATTATTTTTTTACAGCAGTCTCAGCGTCTCCTTCACTCTTTCTGCTGCAAGGACATCACTGCAAACCACCCATGGATTGTAGGAATGAACGTAAGAAAAAGAAAGAGCTCTTGCTGCAGCCCTAACTATCTTTAAAAGAAAAATCTTTAAAACCTGTAACTTTACAAACTGCTGGATAACTTTATAAAATCCAGATTAGAGCATAGGAGTTTCTTGAAATTATCAGTTGATAAGATGGTAAAACAGGGGCCACAGCACAGACAGGTGGTTTTAGAATGAAAACATTAATGAAATGTAAAGGTGTGTTGCTGCTTTAGATGAAGTGTAAGAACTTCCTTTGCATGATGTTGAGCAAGCCCTTTATGTCTCTGGGCTAGCTACTCACCACTCATGAGTATTTTACTGCTACAGGTATTTTCATGCAAAGCAGAATATAAATAATAACATGTTATTACAGGAAAAATTAATAATGAGAGCGAACTGTAATCGCTAATTCATTTCACAGAAAGTGCTGTGAGCAAGACAATTCTTTTCTTCTGAACTCATTAAACATGGTATCTAGTTTGCAGTCAGCAGTACGGTACAGAGAGCTGAAGCGCACCCCTCTGCAAGAGACAGCAGAGTGGTGCAGGAGGCAGTGCCTCATTCCTGACCAGTTCAAGACGCTGCATCTAGCCTGGATAGTGTCAGCTGGGAGAACAAGCAGGAGCAGGTCGTGATTTGGGACCTCTGCCAGCTGAGGGAACAGGCTTGATTTCTGTGCCTGAAGGGTCTGTGCACAACTCCCTCCTCCCAATTTTAAACAGAGAAGACAAGTGTCCCACTGCTCCTGCTGCCATCATGGCAGAGAGAGGCTACATCACAGGGCGATTCAGAACAGAAGCTGAACTTAGGTGCTTTGAATGACCTGTAAAAGGAGCAGCTCCCTCCCTCTCCCCCGACTCCAGAGAAGTCAGTGACCTGGAGAATCTAATCTGCCCCTGCTCCGTGCCTAAAGCTAGCCTGTTAAATCCCACTGCGAGTCACCTGGGGACCTTCCCTCACTGCATTCTCAAAAACCACCTGGTGCAACGGGAGCCGTGTTGCCCGCAACAACTCTTAGCACCATTCTAAAATTACCCAGTCCTGTATGATACGAGCCAGCACCAGCTTTGGCAAGTGCAAAGGTGGTGTTCCTTCCCCTAGCTGACGTCCTTCCTGCCAGTTCAGTCTTCAGCATCTCTGCCAAGTCTGGCAATTGATAAGTAGTAACTGATAAGGTATCCTGTTACATCACCTGTGTGGTGTAAAAATGTGTGCTAAAACCAGCACGCTGCAGTTTGGGATAAAGATATAAGCACTGCATCGTTGTTTACGCCATACCTGAGTTGTCATTAAAATTTCTTAGAAAAAAAAGTAGGCATTCAAGTAAAGTAGAGATAAAATTGGACATTTGGTAATTACATTTTATGTAAAAAGAATGTAATGGATATATTTAAGCAGAAACAGTTTGAATTTCCTTTGGGGCTGTCCAAATGTTCTGATTTAGCGTTATCAGTTAGGAAGGCAGGTTATGCAGGAATATTCATAAAAAATAGTAACTCAAGAAACAAAGATTTAGCAAACGTCGTGCAAATAAAAGCAGAAATGCATTCAAATATGATGTGCAATCTTCTGCACTCAGCTACGGATATTCAGATGGAGACATTGTCTCGCTGGTCCATCCTAATGGTAAAACGACTGCCTAGTCTGTTTGCTGCTCCACGCAGATCTTATTAGCTGCGGTGGACTAAACAAGTAGGTAAGACCTCTAAACCTAAAGAAAGCTCAAGATACCTCTAAATCCTAACAAGAAGCAAGAAGATGTAGGAGGTAACACTGTTTTAATTAAATAATGTTTCTCCTTTTGTACAGACCCAGTAACATAGGAAAAAAACCCATTTCCTCTCTACAGTAGATGTGGAACTAGAAAAACTTCATCTGTTTCTGTTTGGGTTTTGTTTTTTTCCAGTCAAGTATTTGGAAGTGACAATTCACTTTCCAAGATATTTTATGTATTAAAAAAAAGAAAAAACCCACCAATGGTTTATAAAATTAACACCCTCACAAATTTCTGTTGTTCAGGCTAAAAAATCCTGCTCTGCCCACACTCAGTAACCTTACAGGATGATTATACTTTAGATAAGAGATACTAAATAGATATCTATACTCTTATTTAAGTGACTACTTGGACATCTAAGGCTCCAAGAGCCCAAACATACTCTTAACAGCACCGTTACACCTCAGAAATTCCATCTATTCAACTGAAAGCAGTTCTGTTTACCTTTAGCAGAAATACACTTGGTCCCTTCTGCATACCAAGGGGAAGTCTTGCACTTAAAAAGCATTTCATGTCAAGGTATCTCACCTGCGCTCTTTGTTTCTCACGTATTTTGACTTCCTTTTCAATTAATTTTTGTCTCTGGCTAGTTTCTTCTTCCAGTCTTTTCTCCAGTTGCTCTCTGCGGCGCTTTTCTTCTTCCAGAGCTCGTTTTTTAGCTTCCATCTCCCGTTCCTAAATACGACAGCACATGCAGAACTTCAACCATACGTGAAACTATAGTTGGTATTGTAATTTCTAACCTAGGACTAAATCCCTTTTTGCCTCTGAAGTAGGCAGAAATATATATCCAGCAAAGTGGGCTGAGAATTGGAATCAGAATTGCAAATATTACTACTCTAGAAAAGAAAGTGGTTCTTAAGCAGCTCTCCTAGGAGGTGTGGGAGCAATGCTGACCGAGCTTCTGATGGGACTCTGCCATCAGCTCACCCACCAAGATATATGGGCTCACAGATGTAGTATGGGAGTGAAAACAGACCAAATTAAGGGGGGAGAGGTAATTTTTTTAAAGTGTCTATTAGGTGTAAACTATTTAGGGTCCAGTGTTGCATTTAGGAGGATATTAACTAACATGCCCACTCTTAGTTTTACTCATAAAATTATGCTTACCCTTGTCTCAAGCAGCCTAGTCTTTTCAGCGTGCGCTTGTTTCAAAAGTCTCTCCATCTCTTCTATTCTTGCAACATTTGAAGTGCTAGCACTGCACAAAACAAAAAGATAAATCAGTTATTTATAAGAGTACTTGGTATTTAAAGACCTATTTTACAGTCCAACATTAGACAATTTAAGAATGGACTTAATACTCTTTGAGCCAATTCAGTGCAGCAGGCACTAACAAAAAATGATATATAAAGTATGGGCTATACCCACAGTGTATACATTCCCCATGCACAGTTGTGATAAATGCAGACTCAAGTGCCTAAAAACGCAACTTCTCAGTCCTCTGTGGTCTGCCATCTTCCCCAGATAACAGAATATGGATGAAGGTGGTTACTATGTCCTAACAGGTGTCTCACTGAGCTCATAATCAAAAAATGCTTAATCACAGAATGGTTTGGGTTGGAAGGGACCTTAAACATCAACTAGTTCCAACCCCCCTGCCATGGGCAGGGACACCTTCCACTAGACCAGGTTGCTCAAAGCCTCATCCAGCCTGGCCTTGAACACTTCCAGGGATGGGGCATCCACAGCTTCTCTGGGCAACCTGTTCCAGTGCCTCACCACCCTCATTGTAAAAAACTTCTTCCTAATACCTAGCCTGAATCTCCCCTCTTTTAGCTTAAACCCGTTACCCCTTGTCCTGTCACTACAGGCCCTTGTAAAAAGTCCCCCCCAGCTTCCTTGTAGCCCCTTCAGGTACTGGAAGGTGCTATAAGGTCTCCCCGGAGCCTTCTCTTCTCCAGGCTGAACAAGCCCAACTCTCTCAGCCTGTCCCCATAGCAGAGGGGCTCCAGCCCTCTGAGCATCTTCGTGGCCTCCTCTGGCCTTGCTCCAACCAGTCTATATCCTTCTGATGCTGAGGGCTCCACAGCTGGACACAGTACTCTAGGTGGGGTCTCATGATCAAAATAAGGAGGATTAAGAGGAACGCACAAAGGCCATTCAGTGACAGACTAGTGTCAGGAAGGATCTACTGGTTAAAGTAACTGGTGAGCCAAGGGAATATGGGTAATCCCAGAGAGTGCTAGGTCCTGGCCCAACGCAACACAGCTCTGACCTTCGCCTATCCTTTTTCCTTTGCTTCCTTCTCTCCAATACAGTTTTCTTTGTTTCGTCTCCATTTAACAGCCATTTCAGCTCTGGCATTTCCACAGTGTGCTGTTTTATTTTTCATCTTAAGCTGTTTGTGAAAAACAGCTGATGTTAAATAGTACTGTATTACCATCAATAATGCCACTGGACTAAAGCACAACGCAGGGAAATAAAATGGATTCAAACATTAGGGCAGAGAGAAACGCAACTTGGGACTGTACTGAAAACACTATCTGACCACTCCAGTGGAAGCGTATGTCAGATAGCAGATTTGTGCATGCTACTGAACAGCATACAGACTGACTTTAAAGGGACGCAGGAAGAATGGAAGCAGTCCCAACGTGTGTCCTGGGCAAGGAAAACTAAAAACTAATAACAACTTCCTTCACTTTGTGAGCGTGCCTCTGGCACTTGGGTCTGTAAGAGCTGGGTTTGTGTCTGAAGTGTGACAGTCTTCAGGAGACGCTTACGTCTCTGTCTGGTACTGGGGATACGTTTCATGAGAGGATAAAATACAGTATAAAACTAACATACTTCATTTAACCCAAGCTTGCACAAAAGGCATAATCCATCTGAAATCAACCTGGACTCTAAAATCTTATTGTCTCTTGGGAAAAAAAAAAAAAAGATGCCACTGATTTAGTCTAGTTTGGCCAAAATATGTTTAGTTGATGGGCCAAGACAATCTGGGTCAACTAGGTTCAGTAAAAACAACAGGGCCATAAATTAAAAGTCATTTGAGCAACCTGGAAGATAGTTAATCGCATTAGGTTTTTTCACATTCAAGTGGTTAACACTTCAGCTTAGGTAAATTCTTTCATCCTTGATTTGCTTACCCTGCTCTCAGAAATAATTGCATAGCAGAAGCTGACAATCTCTGAAACCATGGCTACGAAAAATCAGTTGCTAACGAACCTTGGAACAACTACTGTTTGGCGAGTTGATGAATTACTACAGTGGTTCTGTTTCTTCTGTACTTGGAGCACAGACAGATTTTATGCATTTCCAGCAACAAAAGTCTCTCTCCCCTTATCCAAGGTAAAATGTATCTTACAGATTTCGAATATGTCAGAACAAAGCATCATAACTTTACCTTTGAAGTCTGATGGCTAGGAAAGATTCTCAAACACCATCAAAACATTCTGAATTAATGTTGCTTAGGTGAAGTTTTGTCAAGGAAAATTAACCGCCTAGCTTCCAAACTATCAGCCCACACTCTTCTTCCCTCACCAAAGTTTGCTTTATGAGAAACGGAAAGATCTGTTGTAATGGGTCCTTTTTGGGGTTTTGGATTGGTTTGGTTTTTTGGTGGTGTTTTTGTGGTGTTTTGTTTGTTTCTAGCACTGGCTGGAAGCTGCAGAAGAGCCAAAGGGAGACAGAAGGACAAACAGCACTAGTGAAATTCCACAGCTGTCCGGACTCCCCCATCCTGGACTGGAGATTCCACTTACGAGATGGCCCTGAGGTAGCTCAGACACACGCCATCTTCCTCCAAAGTGGTCAGAGCAGCACGTCAAAGAGAGATTTCATACCACTGCTACGTCAGATCACTCCAGAGAGAGAGTTTATTCCCAGCCTGTCTCCAACTATCAGAATCTTACCAACTATGTATCTGTTTTAAAACAGAAATCCTCAAAACCTGAGTCATAGTGGTTTTGCTTTAAAAAAATCCAAACCACCACGAAACAAACAAACAAAATTAAAAACAACCAACCACACAAAAAAACAAAAAAAACCCCAACAAATCAACAAACCCAGCCAGCAGAATGAGTGCCACTGGTATTTTCTGAAACCCTTAACACGAGAGTGATAAAGACCACAAGAGGAAATCAGTGGGCTGATACCCAGTTACAGGAAACAGATGCTGAATAAAACACAACATGCTAGCCAAAAAAGCTGCCCTTGTGTTCACAAGGGATTCTTCATCCTGTGATGATATTGTGCTTAATTATAAGCCTCCACTTAGGCTTGTGACAGTGCTGGGGCAGGACAGTAAGCAGAACTGAAAGCACTACCATTACAACCAGCCTGCCAGAAGAAAATAGTTTGCACACAATTTCGAGGCTCAACTGGACTTTTAAGAGAGATCATTGATGTTCCTTTTATGTGAGGAGTGGTGTCTGAGCTGACAGCCTTTGAGGGTGAGAAAAGCAGCCGAGGGCTCCAAGACTTTCAGTGTCATCTCTTTGTTTTTACTGACCCAGAAAAGGGAAAGGCCAAAAAAGACTGCCGGAGGAGCCCTCAGTGCACAAGGCTCGAGCAAGTCAACATGCTGGGCTTGCAGAACCGGTGTACTTCATCACTGGCAGATGTCGAGAAATTTCCTGTCACAGGAAATTCCTTCCCTGTAGGGACCAGGGAAGGAAGTTCAGGTATTACCCGCTCTGAGAACAGCACCGACAGCTTCACAGTGTCAGTTCAGGACTGACTGATCTCCTGTGGCCTTCAACATTATCACTTAGCCTCTCCATATTTTTATTTTCCATCTTTAAGTAAACAGGCGAGATGGTAGTTAAACCTGATCATGATGGGCTACATAACCACTAAATACTACGCCTGTCTAATGACCTTGTATTTTCTTAGCCAGTTCGCAGCATTCACACTGCCATAGCATCAACATGTACATACTCTCCTTTTTCGTTTTAGCCCATTACGACATCAGAAATAAGACGACCTACCTGGAAATGTTATCTGGTGAGCAGGCAGATATGCTGGTTTCCATGCTGTCAGAACTGTCTAAGCTCAGCGTATCAAAGGCATGGTCCTTGTAACTACGGTCTGGGTAATGGAAACTATTCAAATACACATTTGATTCGGATGCTGTTCTGCTGTAGAATTCAGGAGACTTCTGCCTTTGGTTTTCACAGATACGCTGATGGTTATACCCTGCAGGGCACAGGGGAAACGTTTGTTCAGTGCAGAAATTCTATATTATATTCACGAACATAACGTGTTAGCAGCACATGCATTTTGAATGTCACCTCAGCCTTAGCCGCACCGTGACCAAGGTACTTCAGTATGACGGTTAATTTCACAAGTTAATCATAACTGAAATAGAACATGGTTTATCTGTGATGGGCATAAACACATGCAGATTAGTATGGCTGACTTTTCAACATATATTCTTTTCAATATACATTCTGGCATGTCTATTATGAAAATTTAATTTGAATGAATAACACTCCCATTTTAAAATGAAAATTAGGCCTAATCTGGAAAGTTAATGCAGCTAAATTCAGGAAATCCGATGCTGATTCAGTTAAAGGGGAAAAAAAAAGTCCTGATATTCAATGGTCTTGAGCAATTCTTTGGTTGATTTTACTGAATGTGCACTATTTCTGTCAGTTTGAGAAACTTTGCCTGCTGGTATCGGCGGGTTGGGCTTTCAGTTTCAGCTGAAGCAATACAGGCTACTTGTCACATCATCACCGTTACAGGTGCAGGGGTACTTTCCTGCGTTTTGAAACTGCAGTTCACCCTACATGATTGAAACAGATCCCAATAGCTCAATGACTGTAAGGAAGAATAAGGTTTATGAAACATCCAAGTTCTCTGCACTGTTATTTTTCCACAAAATCATCCTTTCTGAAAATCCATCCTTCTTGAGCACAAGGAACATTCTTTGTCTACGTCTCCTTTAGAAATATACTTATTTGGAGTTATTTTTATCTCATGCCTCCATTGCTCTTCGTAAATAATGCAGCAGTATTTATGCAGACTTACAGAGGGTTCTTGGGCTTTGCCTGATGAAGAGGACAGTCTAACGACAGTTGTCCTTTTAACTGCTGAGGTTATTTTACAGTGCCCTTTTAAGGTCGGTTTGATCTATGTGATTACCAATGCCACTGCACTGCTCATCTTTCCTTTCAATCAATGCAAGAAGTGGGACTTTCTCACAGTTCTGATACTCAGTCAAGTTTATGTAAGACTTTCTGTAAGTTCCTGACCCAAAATCTGAGCTGGTGGCAGAGTTGGAGATTAGGAAGGACTGTTAGGCTACATGAAAACTTCCCGTTTGTACAGAAAGGCAGCCACTGAACATTCCATCCACATATTTAAGATAAACAGACACAGGAAAAATGCAGACAAGCGTACAAATGCATTGAAGTTTAGATAAAAGTTTTTACTAGACACCATTAAGACACTGATGTTAGGAAAACATGCTTGAAGTGGGAGTATTTTCCTGCACTATTCTCTGTCTGGACATACAAGGGTACTGTCTGGTATTTTTTGCCATGCCAGAGTGGGGACAGTCCCAGTTCAGGAAGCCGACAACTGCAGCTCTACCTTGGAAAGGCTGTAATATTCTTCAAAAGTTATCTGAAAAGCATGACTGAAGCTGGGTAATTAAAGCGTATTATTAAGGAAATCATGCCCTACAAGCATTTCCCAGGCAGATAGTTTCCTCTTTCCTCTTCACTTCCCTCTGTACCACACAAACGTTTCTCACAGACAATTAAAGCTAGTTTCTAAGGAACTGACAGGACTTTATTTGCCATTGGAAAGATGCTAAATCTCAAGAAAAGTTCAATTGCAGCGATTAGTAAAAGAGACAAAAGGGACAGGAGCACACCTCGGCAGCCACAGATAAAGGCAGCACACAACACAGGTGTTACTGATTCACATGTCAGTTTGGGCTTTTTCCCCTTATTATGGCAAATGCTGCTGTTATTGTAGATAAGCTATTACCTTTCATACTCGAACCTTTGGAATGACTAATTGATCCTGTGACACGGTTATCAATTATTCATTATGGAAAGAGAGGAAAAAACCTAATTACTGAAAGAACTTCATTTAAATGCACGTTTTTCTATTAAGCCCTTTGCAAAACCTTGCCTACTCAGACATCTTAATGCCATTTCTTGTATTTCACTGACAAATAAACTAATCTAAAAGAAACGTAGCAGTTTTACAAGCACTCTCCTAAAGGAAAGTCAACTTCCCGTGAAGATAAAAAAATGCTTTACTTAAAAACGCGTTCACGTAGTCATGCAAAAGTAACTGAGTACTGCCAGAAACACGCAGTCTTTAGGTTGCAAAACGAGATGCAACCCGAGGAACCAAGATTAACGTGATATTCCCATTTTCTCATGCTCTAAGCAACAGGCAGTTCAAAGCTGTGGAGCAGCCGCGTGCTGACACCGAGAAGACTCGCCACCAACTCGCCTCCATTACAGCCCCACTTACACCTCGCGCAGTCTGCTGCTTAAGGAAACTGCTCGGGTGCCTACTCACATAACATGCACTTTAAAATATTAGACCCCTTGTAAGATCCAACTCTTCACCACAAGTTTCACGCAAGGCAAGTCTTGTATCAGCCAGTTCTAAGCAGATACAAGAGCTTGTTTCTTGTTGCATTGGCTTGTATTCTTTGTAGTAAACAGGTAAAGCTAACACTGTTAACAGCCATACTGTTGAGCAAAACATTGCCAATGTCCATAAAAACACATCATTAAAAAAAAAAAAAATTCCAAAGGTGTTACTGCAGAATCACAAAAACCAGATATACCACCACGAAGTTATGGTTAGGTCAGAACTACAGGTGAAAGCCATTATTGTAAGTGGCACTGTCAAGTATGTTAAAGATCCCCAGTATTTCATAAACAAGATCACAGTACATTTTATTTTATTTCTATTCTTTCTTCTCTCTTTTTCTTTTTTTTTTTTAATAAGGCTGACATTAACACGTCAAGATACATTTTTTGTACGGAAACATGCCAAAGTAGGAAGCCCAAGTCTATCTGCCTTGTCATTGTCACCAACAGATCTGCAAGGATTTCTAAATTTTCTGCTCTACTTGTGTGGCTATGAGCAAAGAAGCAAAAAAAAAAAAAAAATCAGGCCTGCACAAAGCTGTAGCTCTGCAGGTATTAGCACTAATGAGAAGTTCTGTTGTGACAGCTTATTTGACAACAGGAAAAAAAAAGAATTCTTGAAGTGCTATCATTATTTAATTATTATTTAAAAGTTTTCCAAGATTTTTAGGTACTACTTGACAGTGCTGATGCAATCGGTACTTTTGGCAAAACGTGACACAGGCAAAGGGATGTTTTCATACCTTTTCTGGCTTTTCCTGAGTTTGACAGGAGAAAGGAAGAGTGGAAAAAAAGGCAAACTGCTTTGAAAGTCTTATAATTTGTATGTACATATACACCTTGCACCCAGTATATGTTTTTTCTGTAGAGCTTAGAAAGAATACAAATAAATATCTTGCTGGTACCTAACTTCTCTGTCCCAACAGGTTTGTTCCCAGGGCTCTGTCTGGTCTTACATCTTAACTCCCAGCTGACTATTCCCTCTTCCCTCCTGGAGTCCATCCTGCAGCCAATGGGACTGAACTGGCTAACCTTCCCTCCTTGCTCCTGCCTGCCCTTCCTCAGGCTTTTGGCACCCAGCACCCCATGGGAACCTCTGGGGCCAAGGATCGACCTGGGCAGAGTGAGGTCGCTACGTTGTACCAAATAGCAGCTGCTTCATTCTTTTTTTTGGTTTTTTTTTGCACGTGGTTTCCTTGCATGTGCGCAGGAGGTGAATTTATAAATACAGCCCGTCAAAAATACCTCATGAATGGCTGCTGAGAAATAGCTTTTTCCACTAATGTTTTATATCAAGGACACGGCCTCTTATAAGTAAACTCAGGTGGCGATTAATGACAGTGACTGTTTCTTTCAAGAACAATTCTTGAACTCGCATGGCTGACTAAACACAGCTTTGGTAATCCTGTAATAAATACTATGTAACATTATATTAAAATCTATAAAAATACTTCCTACTGGATCCAGCCTAAAATTTATTCATGGACATTACTTGTTCCTGTAATGAAAATGAAACTGAAATCCACGTTGAAACTCAAGTGGCTGTTCTTCATTTCCTGACTTCATTTCTAACTTTTAATTATTCATCTCAAGCTTTTACATTTACCTTCTTGGGCTGAAATAAAAAAACCCAAAGAAAGCATATTAGAGAAGACTCATTTTAGACAGTTACTGTTTTAGTGATAATTCTCAGATAATATCTTTAAACCACCTGAGCTGCCACTACCTCCAGGCACTGTTGAATATACTCCTTTTCAAATCTATATGAATGTGCCAAAGCATCTGGTCCAGAATTTTGCTCGACACTTTTAAGCCCTACGGGACGCGGTAAGCTACTTCAGGAGCGCATCATCCTCTTTGTCTAACAGTCTGTGGGACACCACATGATAGCCAGCCCTCCAAACGGAGTGGATGAAGCGGCATTCATCGTACGAGACCCTGGCTCTCCACTGAGCCACGCACGCCCGGCTGCCATGCTCCTGGCGCCGCTGAGTGCCCAAGGTATCGCTAACCCGAGACCCCTGTGTCGTTCTCAATACATCACTCTGAGCACACAAAACTGACGGAGTGAAAAACCTGTCAAGTGGGAAGAGAAACGCAAGGAAAGCAAGCAGTGGCTCAGTACACATGACGCGTCGGGGACACTTTTTGTCTATTCCTCACCTATTTTAGGTGAACAACTGATTTTTGGAGCAGGAAGATAAGTGAGTGCATATTTATCAGTATAAGCAGAATCTATACATTTGTAGAGGTCCACTATTTGGTAGAAAAACTTAACTCCTCCAAAATATTCACTTAATAGTCCAAAAACCAAACCTGATCTACCTTAAAAATGTTTTTATAAGAAATACGGTGTATTTATTATATAATAAACATTTATCACAGAGAGACGGAATAAAAGAATATTGCCAAGGATGTCCACTGACATGATGTTTGGCTTGTTTTTCAATGATGTATTTCAGGATGTCTGCTGAAATGAATCTTAGTAACATAGACTCAAGCCCTGCTGATTTTAGTGGAAGCCACCTAAGATTTCAGAATTGCAACCGACAACAGCGCTCCATTTGCCCTGTGGGGTACATTTAAATACTCCACTGTGTTCTGGCCCTTCTGCGTATCTGGGTAGAAACACTCCAGGATCTGACTGTAGCCACCCAACTTGGACGTCTCAGTTCTTGCCGAGTTATGAGGTACAGTACGGAAAGCGCCCTGCAAAAACTTCTGTGGTGAGTTACCAAGACAAAGTTTTCCCCAACAGAGAGACATGGCACTCCAGGGCAAGAGAAGGCTGTTACACTCTTCGAGCTCCTCCAACAGCAACACGTTTGGGAAGGTCCATGTTGAGCGCAAAGGGAATAAACCCTTCACTAACTACGAGGAGAGGTAGTCAACCCACAGCCAGTCCTTGCATTCCTATGTCCTTTGTGTTCTGACTGTCCATTACTTTGCAAACCCCATGACAGTTCATGTAAAGCACCTGTCAGCAGGCTGATGTTTCCAAAAAGGACATCGAGAACCATCCTCTTTCCCGGTACAAATTAATCCCATAAGGCTCCCTGAATAATTTAGCATTTCCATTCAAACTGCTGGATCTTTCCAAAACTAACGGTCAACTCGTATGGCAGGCTGAACAGCACACATGGTTCCTTGCAGCTTATGACAGGTACTGTCCCAATTGCCTTAACGAATACATCTCTCTCATTCTCCCTTGCCCCTCTCCTTTGGCCGTAACTCAGTTCTGGTTTGTAAGGTTTCTTTCTTTCTCACTCTCAGGACAAGAAATCCAACTCTGCTCTTAGAAATGTTTTGATTACACTGTGACAAAAAATTAGACATCAGAACCAAGTAATTTATTTTTAAAACTCTTACCTTAGCCTGTACTAGGTTTGGTAACACTCTGGTATTGTGTTTTAGGTTGCACACTAATGCTCTTTTGCAACTGTTTTACAGATACATTTCCAACCTTTAACACTTGATTTCTTATCAAAGTTTAGCCTAAATATCCCTACCGATTTTCAAACTGAAACCAAGTGTTTTCTGCACAGTGGCACAATAATGAGCCTGAAGGCAGTGGCAGGCTATTTCACCCTTGCACACACATTACGTCTAAGAAGCTTTCCAAGCTGAGTACAAAGCTCTTTTTGCCTGGCATCTGAAACACCTCAAGGTAAGTTAGCCACAACACGGTGGTGGGTTTGGGGAAGGCCTGCTGCAGAACTAAAGCTCAAACCCAACAAACCACACCTGGATCAGCTCTACGAAGTGAATGTAGTAAGCCATTCTCAGCACGCTTGTTCCATCCCTGCACTGAGTCACCTTGGTGCATATGGCTGACCTCAGTCGTCCTCTTTGACCTTTAACAGCTGCCAGCTCTGACAAGGCCTGTAACAACCGGATGGATCCCGTCTCAGCTCGGGCTCAGTCTACATACAGACCTCTCGCACTTGTATCGATGACAACGATGCAGATGCCGGAAAGAAAATAAACGGGCAGATGGCACTGAGAAGCAGCTCCATTTGCAGATGGGACACGTATGAATAATGCATCTCATTAAAGCAGAAATTGAGTGCATCGACTCAAGATGACAAACAACAGACACGGAAGCCCACAGCCTACAAGATCATGTTTCAAAGATGTAACTTCCTTTTGGATCCAGAATTGCTGTGTCCCTATTACAAAAATGCAGCTATCTATCCACAGTAGAACACCTCCCTCCTTTCCTATTTTGTAGCCCAAATATTTAAGACCACTTAAAATACTGCAGTTACAGATTCTCAAAGGTATCTCTGTCTGGAGAATTTGTCCAGTCAAAAATACATGCTTGTGAAAACCAGTTTTCAAGACCACAACATGAAAAGAATTATTAAAAAAAAAAAAAGGGAAGAAAAAAAGAAAGCAACATGTAATGTATTGCCTCAAAAATCACTCACAGAAATTACTCAGTTAACTCAATACGTATTTTTTTCAATATACATTTCTTGTTTACTGGATTATATTTGGTGACCACGTACTTCAAAACTACATGTGCACCTACGTCATGATCTTAACATCTTATTTTGCTGATATCTGAAAACTACATTTATAGCTTGCTTCTTTCACCAAGAAGTAAACTTTTATTTTACAGCCCTGTTGATTATAGCAACACCAGTTTCAGGCTTATTTCCTGAATAAATGAACACTGACTGAACTGAAATCCATCAAATAAAAAGGTCTTACCCTTGTGCATCCTTCTCGACTCCGACTCTTTGGTCATGGTTGCCAGGCAGTGAGGGAGTACGCTGCCACAGCTGTTGCTCTGTCCTAATGGTAAATGCCCCTGCAGGAAATATTGCAAATACGTGCTTAAAACTATGCTTCCAGACTCAATTTTTTCAATCAGCAACTAATGGTAAAATACCTTGCTTTGTCATGGCCATCGATGTCACAACGTATCAATCAGCCACAAATGTTTTAGTTGTGCACAGTCTCTATTAGACCAACATGTCTTCAAACTAGTATCTCCACCTTCCTGCTGTTTGTTGATTTACCACGTCCCAGAGTATTTTCACTTTAGACATAACCTTATCTTTACCATTTAGAGGTCTTAGGTAGGAAGGAAAACAACCTGCTATGTCTCCAGAGTAAATTTAAACTACCCTGAAAATACAACCCTTGTGACAGTAATGATGCGTTTACTACAGCATGGCATTTCCAGAAGTGAGAATAAAGGCTGGAAGTATGGAAGGTTTCACATGCATTCCCACACGGTAACAAACCTGCTGTTTGACATGTGAATGCGGAGGACGGTGCTCCCCAACCCTAACCCCGACATGCCAGAGGGTTCACACCGACGCTGTTTGGCTGTTAACAGCACCCCACTACGTACTTTAGATGCGACGCTTCGCCCAAGCGTGGCACTGTTGAAGTGCGGCGAGACAGACGGAGTCGTTTTCTTGCGAGGTAAAGTGTCACTCAGGTACATGCATTCCCTGTGCTGCTTCTTTCGCTCTTCCAGGTTTCTGAAATGCTTCAAATGTAATTTTGTTACAGTTTTGACAAAATGAATTGACCTACTTGCTCAGTTACGCTCTATACAGAATACGCTGAAAGTGGTAGCCTGGGAGCTTCACTGGAAAGAATGCAATCTACAACACAGAGTAACTCCTGCTTCACTGTGCTTTCCAGGATTTCTACACACATCACATTCACATCATGCTGATTAAGAAAATACATTAAATTCATGCGTACGTTTTGTGACATGTCACTGTACCTTTTTTGCCTTTAAAAAAACCTCAAGTCTAGTGTACAAGTAGAATCGAATTACAAAGAAAAACCTTTATTTACAAATTATTCTAATTAATTGGTGGCTTAAAACCAATACAGCTTTTGAGAGGCATTGTTCAAATGCTCATGAAAAATTAATATAGGATTTCAAATGTAGCCACTTGTACTTTATTGCTGCAAGTCTTCTGACAGCTACAATGGCGCCTAGCTACTACCATTGGCCTCTGGATTGTTGATGTAAGGAGAATTTTTGCTCAGCAGCATTCTATAATGCATTGGGTTGATTTTTTAAATGAGCAGTGCCTTTAAGTGCAATGCTCTGCAAGCACAATCAACTTATGATCTATCACATCACTTTCAAAACATGATCAATTTCATGGCCACCGAAACAAAACTAAACAAACAAACAAGCTAGTCCCAAGTTATCAGCTTTGAATCCGTTACCTGTTGGTGCCTGCGGTGTTTCTTAGCTGGCAGAGGTGGAGGTGTATCAGATAAAGGAATAGGATCTACATGAGTAGCCATGACCTCAGGCCAATGGACTGATGGAAGTTGAGCAATAGAGCGAGGAGAAAGAGAGTGAGGAAACACAAATCCAGAACAGAGAGGTGATCTTAGCTTTATAGAAAAAAGAGAAATTATACACAGAGTTTTCTTTCTGGAATTGCTCAAGAGATACGGCACATAAAAGCTGCAGTTTTAGCACTGTGTTTGTTGGAGCGTTTAGCAGGAAAGGAGGCGTGTTGCATTGCAACTCTCAAAGCATACTGAGCTACCAGAAGCAGCACAGAAATGCCCAATTCTAAACCGATTGTTGCCTTAATGCAACACTAAGGTAGGTGGCTTTACAATCATAAGGTTACTCCATTCATTTAAAAGGGTTTTTTTTTTTAAATTTGCAATAGTCATTACAAAGGCAAACACATTACAAAGAATGAGGAAGAGAGTAAGCTAGAAAACAGGCTGGACAGACTCTGTGGAATAGCTAAGATAAGTAGAAGCTACCCATCTCCCACAGATATTCAAGATATACTTCTACCACCTCACAGGAGGAAAAAAAAAAGCAGCTACAAAACACATGAAATGAACACCCAAGCACCACTGCTCAAGTAATCATGAAGTGTGTCCACAGACCGTTTACCAAAGGTGATAGTGTTTGGCAGGCAAAGATTGTCACTTATTGCTGCTTGGGTCATAAGCATTCAGGTTGTTTGGCCTTTGAAGTCCCACTTACATCATCAAAGACACCTGACAACCGAGCAGTCCTTCAGCTTTGCTATAAACTGTTAGCTGACTCAGTAACTGGCAGACAGCAGTTTGCCTTAGGGGCAATTTATTACATGTTGAATTACCAAAAAAAAAAAACCCCAACAACAAGAATAATCATTAAAAAAAAAAGAAAAGAAAAAGGCAGCCATGAAAACAATGCAAACAAAGGGAAATGTCTCTCAAACAAACCTCTGTATTTTGTGGCTGGCTCGTCAGCACAGCCGTGGAAGGCTCAGTGGCACCTGCATCAGCATCTGTGGGGGGCTGAGTGGAAGGGGACATATTCGTGGAATTGCCATACAGCTCACTAATTTCACTTACACTGATATAACCCTAAAAGGAGGAATTCAGAGGTTAAAAGGAGCAAAAGCCAAAAGACGTGCAAGAGTATTAATGTACCCAGTACGATGAAAGTTAGTTTAGAGTGATACAGCCAAACATTTGTTATCATTGAAATACTTTATCATAAATAAGATCGAATTTTCATCAAGCTTTTCAAATGTTAAATACGTGGATTTGGAAAATTGTTCATTGTTTCATTTCAAAAACATTTGTGAAATTAAAAAGCAAATGTATATTAAGTGACCAAAAGACTTCACTAAAATGCAAATACCCCGTAGAAATTATGTAGCTCTTTCTCTGGAAACCTGACTTGGGGAAAAGGAAGAACAAATCTTACTCACTCACCTTTTATTTCTTTCTTACTTTTTTTTGTCCTTGCCTAAATAAATTAACTTACCTTGATTTGTTTCTTGCCTAACGATTAAGCTAGATTGAGTAAATCAAATGACTGACAGAACCAGGAAGAACTTACGTAAGGAGAAGCCATTGCTACTCAAGAAATCATGCTGACATAACACCTTCCATCTGCATTGTCTGGAAGTCACTTCTAACTTTTAGGTGTCACCAGGAGATTCGGGTAAGATGCTGTTAGTGTTAGCCCCACAGCCATTACAATTTGCCTTTTTTCTAATTTTGTTTTTAAGCAGCCATATAGGACGTGCCTGACTGAGGAAAGGCACGGGCATCAGGGTGTGCTTCTGCCTGCAGAAAAGATTTATGCAGGCAGATTGGAGATACAATGGCAGAATACAATTACTGCATGTGTTTTGGTGTTAACCGGACAAATGTTATTTAGAAATAAAATATGGGGTTTAACCCATGTTGTATAGGATGCCAGGCTATAAAAAGGCAGATGTCCTAACTTCTTATCCATAGAAAACAAGGCTGTGCGGAAGGAAGAATAAATCACTGTTGAAGTAGTGTCATTGAAGTTTAGCTCCGAAAACACGTGGCCATATTACAGTAACACAGATTCCAGTATGAATAAAGATAAAACTTGCTTAACCATCTTGTGGTGGCAGTACATCAGTAACCAAAACTTGCCAAGTCTGTGAGTGAAACATGGTGGTTCCTTTTTTTTTTCCTTCACCATTCTATGAAGAACACTCAGTTCATACTCAACCCCAGTGGGGATTTACCATGGGGTTTAAAAAAAAAGGAGCAAACAAGTGACTGTGCTGTCCATTAGCTCAGGCCCCTGCCATATTAGAATAAATAAATGATTTCTGGTCAGATTAGGCATCTAAGTCATTTTGTTAATGCTGAACTTTCAAACAACATTGATTTTCCTCACTTATTTAAGCACTGGGATAAGCACCCTGCCTCTCTACGTGAGGCCATGTTACCCTCTGCTGCTGTGCATGCAGGGAATCAGCGTCAGGATGGGTTGGAGAGCATTCCAAATGTGAGCTTTGGTGAGGAGGCGCTTGGGAAGCGTTGGACTGCAGACTCAACTGATAGGTGAGCAACCGCACGGTGAACTTAACCTCTGTGTGCAGGCAGTCTGCCTACACCGGTGTACCATTCGGTGCCCCATTTTTAAAGGTTCTGGAACAGGCAGAGGACAATAAAACTGGACCGAGACAAACATAACATCTGGCAAGGAAAGGCATTTCTTTCACAGGGTGGAGCCCATGGGGACACTGAGCATGAAACAGCTAACCCATACTGCTCCTCCTCTCATTAGCCTTGGAGAAAGTCCTCACTGGCTTCACTGCAGTGAACAGAACGACACCGCTGAATAATCCATTTCTATCAAAAGGTGTCAGGCTCACTAATGCAGCTGCGTTTTGAAATATTTGTGATTAAACAAATCATTATGTGGATACGAAGATAAAAATCAGAGATAGCACCCACTCTCTAGTGAGAGAATGAAGAGGGCATTTCAGAATGAAAAAAAAATGATGCTTAGACTTCCTAGATGTCCCGGTGGGAGGTCAGATGTCAAGCTCGGAACACAATCTGGGACACAGGAAGTCTACACATCTGCCAGATGGGCTGCAGTGAGCAAGGGTGCTCAGCCTCACCAGCCTGTGCTGGAGGCCACCAGGGTTCACCCCAGGAACTCAGAGCCCAGATAAGCATGATCCCATTTCCCAGGTGCTGGAAGGACACGTGGTCGCTTTCGACGTCCCACAGTGACACCTACATCATCAGATGTGGCAGGCCTTGTTCAGGGCTTTGATACCAGCAGATCCGCCAAGTGCGATCCGAGCTCTTAAGCAGAAGTTAATGAAGCAGCCACAGACACCTGTCAGCGTGTTTTAACTGCCAGATTTTCCTCCTCTCCATTTACAACTTCACGTTTATCTGCAGATTCGTCAGGTCAAGAAGACAAACACTGGGAAATGACGCTAACAGCGTACCTGCTGACTGAATCTTCGCGATGGGCTGTGGCTTACCCTCCTCTGACCTTGCCCACCCACCCTGAGGCTTACAGTGGTACCCTCAAAAGCTATCATGTCTTGACAGCTGCACGTAAGATCTCGGTCTCTGCATTACCAAACTCAGTTTTTTTCAGGAAAAAAAAATGTTTGACACCTTTACTCTAACTACTAAAAGCAGTTCAATAAATAGCTCAATGGATATCTTAGAACCACAGCAGCTTGAAGTCTTCAGTTCAATGCTTTTTAAAAAGATAAAAACGTACACTTGTCATGCTTTACTGTACAGCCTTAGAATAAAGGGGAGGCAATGCTAACATCTGCAGAGCAAAAATAAGCCTGAGCTGTACTCATACTTGAACAGAGTTATTCCCAGTCCTCACTTTTCTTCACTTCAATGTGGTTTAATTGTCTATTTTGAGAAAATTAAACACACACTCCCCTCCCCCCAAAATGATCATTTTTTCCAGAGCAAGAGATTAGGGCGATACCAGTCACATCTGGGAAAATGTCAAGAGAAGCTATTTTTGCTCACCCATGCATTTGGACTCCCATGAATAGCTTTACAATATCATTTCATCACATCTCAGAAAAAGAAAAAAGGAAAAAAGTATGAATACACGACTTCACTAAATACAACAGCACTTCAGGATGAAGTGTTAATAAAAGTTATTTATGGTAAAGTAAAAAATCTCTTTACCTCTTTTAGACTATTGGGACTGACAGGAAATCCCTTTCCTCCAGAAAGCATGGAATATTTCTTTTCCAGATTACAGAGATTCTCTTTTTCCTGTTAAAAACAGACATTACACGTTAAATACCAACAGCCATTTACTGAAAACAAATGCTAGCCATTTTCTTCACTGTGTAAAAAACAGGCTGGGATAGAAGGCTAGAAACTGCGTGGCAGAGCTTCAACTTCACCCATTTACAGCAGAACTGAACAACAAATGGAGGTACAGAACAAAAAGCTAGTGAAAAATTTTATTTAATAACCACAGCCAAACCAAACAGGTCCTCCTTCAGCATTTTGGACATGCTGATTCTGCAGAATGAACTAACCATGATTTCTCTAACCATGATTAAAGGCAAAACATAAAGTGGGCACGAAGGGTTCGTGCCAGCTTCTTATTAACCGGATGTTAAGTAGCTCATCTTGTGGCCTAGTATGAGCTACTACAAACCAAAAATCTGAGCTCTCTGTGCACAGTTCTGGTGGCCACACAGGGAGCACAGGCTTCCAGCTTCAGCATCTGGGTGGTTCCCTCTGATTGAGTCCTCTGGAAGGGGGGCACCTCTAAAACCCTCTCGACTATCAAAAGCCACTCGTGTTTTCTCTTAGGAAATCTGCTGATGAATTACAAAAGACTTTTCTTTAAAGTTTAACGGATACAAATTATGTCTGTTACCTTATTACCTACTTATTAGCTTCTGCCCAACTGATGCTTTTCTTGTGCTTTACATTCTTTTATTACACACTGAAAATATTTAGAAGACAATAAATACTTACTCTTTGCAGCATCATTATCAAGTTGTTTTTCTCTTTTACAAAATGATCTTGTTCTCTTTGTGCTTGTTGGACAATGTGATTGGCTTGTTTTTTGAGAGCAGAAATCTTTTCCTAATATGAGAACAAAACAATCACAAATCACATGTTTTATTTTCGAAGCAGAAGACAGCCGGCAGGAGGAACCTATTCATGAGAGTTCACTCATTCATATGCGTGAAGCGGTAGGAAAAGGAGTTTTTACAAGACAGCTCACTGCTCTGAAGGAGATAATTAAATAAGATTTAGACAGTAAAGAGACAATTTATTCAAGGGAAAAAACAAAAGAACAATTGCACGTATTCTCTGATAATATGGTGACTACCATCCATACACTGAATAGAACTGGTTTAGACATGCAACTTCTGATCTCTGAAAAACTGGTATTTAATGGGTTGACACAGGACCTGTACAAGTGATTGTTAAAAATGGAGGGTTTTTTTTTCTTAATTTGGTGTCCTATTATTATTTTAACAAAATCATTTAACATCAACATCAATCATGAGCATAAAATAGCTGTAGTTTTGTTCAGAATGTACAAATCTCCTTTCTTAAAGAATTAAAAACAACACTTTGGTACTTTTTGTAGCAGATTGAAGGGTTTAATTTTCACATGCAAATGTACAAACAGGGCACGGAACTTTATTGATTTATCTCCTTTTGAAGACGTGAATGATTTGATCTGTGTGGGATGTTAGTGGGCCATTATCTTTGAAAAAGCTTTTGAAGCAGAGAAACGAAGAAAGTTTTTGCATTATTTCTTACAGATGGGCAAGCTGTAGATCCATTTCATCTCCTTTAAGCTCAACAGCAAAGAACGAATGAATTGAGCGTTAGCGCTTTTACCTTTCTACTGACAATGCTGCGCTGATACTCAGCCACTTCACGCAGGAGCTGTTGTGTCAGATTTTCTTTCTCTTCATCTAACCTGCTTTCATGTTCAAGCTGCTGAAATTCCAAATCTTCGAAGTGTTTACTTTCTATGTCCAGAAGATCAGCATCCTTAAGCAAAAAAAAAAAAAAGGCAAAAAAAGTAATCACACTGACACCAGAGTAGATACTTACAAACACAAAAAATCAGTCTAAATCAGTGTTTACACATCTCATAAATCACGTTCAAACAGAAGCTCAATGCTTTTAATGACCTTCTGTTGTAATAAAAGAGCAAATAGGGCTACTCGTCATTTTGATGTTGCTTTCACCACCTCTCCTACCGGTCCCAGAAGCACCTGCATGGTGAGGGAGCTGTTTTGCAGGGTTCAGAGCAAGCTGGAGCCTCCTGAGCACGGGGCACATGCTGGCTGGGCAGATCACCCTGCTGCAGCCTGGCTGTCACACCATCAAGGCCTGAACCCGTTTGCTGAGGTTCTTACATGCCAAAGTGGGAGAGCACCCGCTTACCAACCAAATAGGACAGAAACATCCCTGTAACTGTGCACTGAATTAATGAACTATGGGAATTGACACTCAAAGAAAGGTGTCTGAACTGCAGTTGGAATTTCCTCAGGTCTAGCCCAAGTGCCAGCATTGTTTTCATTAACAGAAATACAGTCAGATAAGACAAGCGGTGTGTAGAGCTGTGTGCCATCAGCCCACTGCCATCACCTCAGCAGCAAAGCCCAGCCATGCAGGTTGCTCAGCCAGAGGCTGAGCGTGGAGCATCCAATTGGAGCTGACAGCTGCTCCCTGGGCAAACACACCATTGGAAACTCCAGTCATCCACCCCAGCCTGTAGGTGTATTACTTCACAAAAGGTATCAGCCCGCTTTTATGCATTCTCCCTGGACCAACGCCAGGTTTTGTCAGGAAAAAAATAAAAAGAGGTTGCATGGTGCAGAAAAGACCCAAGAAATAAGAACACACCTGCTTTCTGCTTAGGGATGATGGGGTAAAAAGTTACGGTGCTTTTCAGCATAGGAACTGAATGCTAACCTTTCTCCTGCAACATCTGTGCATTCATAATGCAAATTTCTACTTAAAAATTCCAGAGTTCTGAAGAGAAGGGTGTTTTTAATAATGGCAGCATTATTAAATGCTAAGGCTTTCTAAACTAGGAACATTGTACGTAGCTACGCAAGCAAACCTACAGCCTATAAGCAATTTTATCATTTTAGAGAAATGCAAACTTATCCTTTTATTATTTTGATGACCTAAGGCAAAGGTTAGTGACTGAGATAAACAGACAGGTCTCTATAAAGGCATTCAAAACCAGCTTCCAATGTACCAGGGAAAAACATGGGATGCAGAAACTGAACAATCCAAGTTACTATATGAAATGCTAACATCTTTGCATTATTCTCCAAAGATGTGCCCTTCCCTTGTAGTGAAGAGATCAAAAGCAAAGGTATGGGATAAAAATTACAAGAAAGCAGTTAGCTAAAATACAGAAATGCTTCATTCAAACCAGTCAGCCATCTTCAGCATTCAAAACAAAGAGAAGCGCTTTGCCTGGGCCATGAAAGTCAACAAATTCAGCCTATCTCATACCACCTTCATTGCTATTGAGGCAGGGGAAACGACTTCAGAGAAGGCAACCAACAGCCAGAAAGGCAGCTGCTAGCCAGTTGGGCTCACAAAATGCTATATTCTTCATAAGATGTGCTATGGAACAAGAATTACACCACACTGTGTACCACTGGGTCCACTGAGGAAAAATAAATGTAACTAACTTGAAAGCAAGCCCATTTTCAAATTCAAAACCCTCCAAAGGGTAGGTGGCAGCAGCTTAGCTCTACCAGTGGTTGCAAGCACATTGCAGGGAGATCACCAGCCTGGCAAGTCCATGGGGACCAAGACCCAGGCAGCCTGTGGGAGCAGGCACATGAGATCTGGCTCTGAGATGTGCCTGCAGAGTCCTCACCATAACCTTCATAGGGATCATACTCAGCAGCGTAGGATTTGCAGGAGGACAAGTGTTCTTTGCTGTAGGTAATGGCTTCCTGAACCATGCAGCAAGTGTACTCCTTCCCTTTTACTAAAACAATTGACACAGAAAAAATGTAACATAATCTATTATCAAACAACAGACACCAAGATGCTTATCGGATTCTCAAACCATAAATTTCTCCTGCACCTCTATTATTTTCATAATGGCACTAGAGAAAATTCAGTGGGACAGAACCTGGCCTTTACTTCAGGATGTGGTGGGAGCTCGATGGGCCCACATCATCTGTAAAAATTAAGAGAATTTTATCTGCAGAGTAAGGTATTTCCTACCAATGGACAGTGCCTTTTCAGATCTCTGCAGGAATCCAGGCATCTATCCTCATTCTCCATGTACATGTATCTCTGTAAAGCCAGGCACATGAGAACAAACGAGCTTGCTGCTTTCATACTAACAGTGAAGGATGAAGCGTGCTAATTAACTCTTTTAAATCAGCCATCAGGAAGATCAAGGCTTTCCCTCAATGCCTCCCACAATCCCTCACCAGTCTTTGATGAAGTGTCCTTCCAGCCCAACAGGATATTCATTTCGGACACCGGGAAGTAAATGGAGTGTGCCAACTGCCCACTGCCGACCCCAGCCCAAACTCCAGACCCAGCCCGCAGCCAGCTGCTATAGCGAAACTGGCTGCCTGCTCCCTTGGCAAAAATTAGGAAGTTGCTGAAGTTCCAGAGATGAAGAATTAAGGGAATTCATCCCTTCACATTGGCAGTAAAGTAGCACAACATAATCTGCTGCAGACTCGGGAATTTCATAGAATCACAGAATG